CTCATGCTAAGCCTTACAAGGCTGCGCTTTTTAACGTGTCGTCAAACACGATTTTTCGTGCGCATGTGCAAGGTTAGATCTTTTATCTCCCTTGTGATGAGCCCCACCAGATGCCGGGCTGGTTCGCGAAGTAAAGCTCGTCTCTATAAAATAAAAGAAAAATATAACCAAAAAGAGAAAACTACAGAGAAGGTAACTGGACCTTATGACATTGACATCTTCCGCCGGCCTAGAATTGTCACTGACTTAAACGGTCATCCTACCGTGCAACGCAATAATGCGTGCCCCACACACTCTCTAATTCGCTTGAATTTGGCTCCGACTCTCGCCAGAAGCGAGATCACTGAGGTAAGCATCCTGACGGGATTTGTCCCATCAGCACGTTACCTTTATCAAGGGCGCACCCAGTGTGACCTTTATAAGGACGGCAAATACCCTTGTAAGGGTGTTTGCTACGACAACGTTACTACGGATGCGCCCGACTATGGCATTGGTGCCGTCCTCGAACAACACGATGGCTTGGACTGGCACCCGGTTAAATACTTCAGCAAGAAAGTGCACGTCGTGCACTCAATTGATGATGCACGCAAGAAGGAGCTCCTAGCCTTCGTCCACGCGCTCAAGTGGTGGCGACACTTCCTCCTTGGTTGAAGTCAATTCCGATGGGTAACGGACAACAATCCGTTGGTCTTCTACAAGGCCCAATACACTGTCAATAGCACCATCGCCCATTGGATGGCTTTCATCGACCAGTTTGACTTCTTTCCGGATCACATCCCGGGGAAGTCAAACCGTTTTGTGGATGCTCTCTCACGACGTCTGGATCATTGTACCGCAGTCTATTCGACCTTCGAGATCAATGACAACCTGCGGGATATTTCATCTGTGGCTACCAAGCCGACGTAGAGTTTCGCGACAAGTACGTGAATTGCTCCTCTCCTAATCAGGCGCCTTCTTACTACCAGATCCAAGAGGGGTACTTGCTTGTCCACATGCGGGGGAAGGACCTTCTTTGCGTGCCAGGTGACTCTCACTTGCGTACGCGGCTTCTTGGCGAGTTCCATGATGCTCCCACCACCAGACACTTTGGGGTCAATCAAACGATTGTCAGACTTCGCGAGTGCTTTTGATGGCCCGACCTCCTCGATGACGTCAGACGCTATTGCGAGTCATGCGAGGTTTGCCGACGCTGCAAATCCCGCAATCATCGTCCATACGACGAGTTGCGACCATTATCGGTCCCCTTGCGCCGAAGGGAAGCGATTGCCATGAACATTACCGGGACGTTCTCCAAGCACAAGACCGGTGTGGATGGGATTCTCACAGTGGTTGACCGACTCACCAACTTTTCCATGTTTTTGCCTTGCTGCTATCATGCCAAGGCACCGGAGTTAGCCGAGGTTCTTTACGCCGGTTGGATTCGAACCAAGGGTTACCCCAAGGAAATTGTTTGCGACCGCGACACTCGGTTCATGTCCGATTTTTGGTTGGCGGTCATCAAACAATGGGGCTCATCTCTCAAGTCGAGTTCGTCTCGCCACCCCCAAACTGATGGCCAAACGGAGAGGGCTCATCAGACCGCACAGGTTCTCCTTCGCACTCTCATTCGTCCCGGCCAAAAGGATCGGGTGGAGTGGCTGCTGGATGTCGAGTTGGCATACAACTCGTCTATCCATCCGCCTATTGGGATGTCGCCCTTTGAGTTCGAGCACGGCTCACCGATCACCTCTCCGTTGGACACAATCATTCCACGGGCGGCCGAGGGCGACGGCCATCTTCTTTTCTTGCGTCGTATGCAAGGGCGACGAGATGGCAAAGACGCAGCAATGCATGAGCCAACTGGCCAATCTCCCGCGTCTTCCTTGTCCATTGCGCGCCAGCGACCTCGTGTGGGTTCCCACCGCGGAATTCAGCCTCAAACAAGATATCTTTCGCAAGCTCCTCCCGAAATGGATGGGGCCCTGGCCGATCGTGGCACCTGCTGGGGATGCAACCGAAGGACCTTCCTTTGTCATTCAGGTGCCCGTCCACTTGCCCGTCTACCCGGTCTTTCACTGCTCCATGTTGGCTCTTTACACGCCAGCGGGACATTGCGACTTTACCGGGCGACGATCGCAAGACCCACCCTCTATGGACGGTTTTCAAGAGGTTGGCGACATCATCTCCCAGCGACGCTACGGCAACAGGCCGACCGAATACTTGGTACACTTTGCGTACTGCACCCACAAAGCTGATCGTTGGTTGACCCGTGCGGAACTGCAAGCAACAGCTCCGGATCTTCTCGCACGCTACGAACGCAAGTTGCAAGGCAAGCCGGTATCTTCGGCTCCCCGTCGCACCCGAATCCAGGTTCCACCTTCAGATCGTCAGCTTCGACCTCGACCCGGCTCGACTTCATAAGGAGGGGGGGGGGGGGTTACATGCTGCGCCTGCACACGGGCGCCGTTTGAGGGGCCCGCAGTTGCTAAAAGGTTCCCCAGGCCGCGCGCCATCCAGCGCGCACCCTGGAAGCCCACAGCGGCCTTTCAGGCCGCAGGTTCAACCTAAGAGAGCATTTATTTATTTATTTGAATGTGCTGTCCTTTTTTGTCGGTTCAGACGCCGTTTCGGACTTGTAGTCTCTAAGGCACGGCCTTGGGCTGGGTGCACCGAAGGCAGGGCCAAACAGGCCCAGGCGCAGTTTTGCGCCTTGCTGCATCAGCAGCACGGTCTGGGCACCCGGTAGGGGCCCCGACCGTGCAGGCCATTCTAGGCCACACAGCAGCCTACCCAGTAGGGCCCAGCGCAGTATATAGCTGGGCCACACCCTGGGAACTGGACAGTTCGGTAGCTCACTTCTTGGGCGACACGCTGCTGGATGGAGGCTGCACTATTGTGGGCGCTGCACTGCGAGTCTGGAAGGAGAGGCCTAGGTGGGAGTGAGAGGCGGAGGCCATACCCGTAGTGGCGAACTTACCTGGTGCCATAGCTGGGATCTCCACGCGGTACCTGCACTGGACAACCACAACAGTCAATACGGTGGCCGTTACCTGCAGGTGAGGCAGCGAGGAGGGTGACATTTTCTTCTCCCTTCTCGCCCTCCATCTCTCCTCCTTCCTCCTTCCTCCTCCTCCTTCTTCATCCTCATCTTCTTCTTCTTCAGATAAGAGAGTGAGAGAGGATACAGGCAGAGGTTACAGTGGGCATTGCGCCCAGGACCTGATTCGACATTTCTGAGGCAGACATTGATTGGACATCGGCAAGGGACTATTTTTGGATTTCGCTATTGCGATCTCGGTCTTGTCCCTCGCCTCCATCCTCGTCTCTCCTCTTCCCCCCATCTCTCATCTGTGGTACCTCCCCATGTGCGTGTACAAGGAGGGACCTTTCTTCTTTGTGTGCGGTCCCTCCTCCTCCTCTCACATGTGTGATGTATGATGGGATGTTGTGTCAGTCCCGGTCAGGTCAGGACTTATCCTAAAGTCTTCCACTGCGCTACTATGTGCCATTTTGTATGTATCAGGGTGTTCATTGCTTGTTGATGTTCCACTGACATTGCATTGTCCATTCAGTCCTTTTCATCACATTGCGGATCCTTGGCTCTACCTGCATTGCCCAACTGGGCATGTATCAAGTCACGATAAGGCCCCCTAGATACCATGGCGGGCCAAAGGACCCGTGTAGGGGCCTCGAGGCATGCTACAACTTACTCTGTTTTCCATGCTTTGCCGTACACACCATCCAGGCTCAAGGGTACAGAAAGTATCCATCCACCCACCTTGGACGGAAGGGCAGATGTGGGGAAGATCGTTCATGACCGATATGTGCGGAGACCAAGAGGAATGCCTAGCAGGATTTACAGAGTCCAGTTCCGATACCAGTCGGAAGAGGAAGACGACGAGCGGGTAGACAGAAGCACTTTGATGGAGATGGCACCCCGAATCATAGGAGATTATGAAGCCTCCAACAGCAAAGGAGGAGGAGAATATGTACACTACTAGACGTCTATATTGTTAATGAAGTGTATCTCAGTTTGCAGATGTGTTTAATAGGTTCTCAAGGGACTTCGAACTGATGCCCGGAGTGCTTAGGACGATTTGAGTCCGAGACCTGATCCAGGTGTGAAACAAGTTTTTATTTTCTGTTTTTGAAGTTTGCTGCCTGTCATATCGGAACATGAGACCTCCAAGTCGGAATACTGTTAAGCAGCTATTGGACTGTAGGACCTATACATCAATAACTCCCTACCCCAGAGCATGGTAGGACCCTGTTGGCCCAGGCAAAATCGGCACAATAGAAGTGACAAGCTAGGAGTAGAATTCATTCAGTTTCAGCTCATGATTCTTTTGGAGTGACGAGGAGCATAATTTTGGCGGCTGAAGGAGAGTCTGGGCTCAGCCATGACAGCGTGTTGCACCGAACACTGTCGAGTGCCATGTCTTGTAAGCTGCTCAGTGCAACCCGGCGCCCACGTGAACGTCACCCTTTCTCATTTTTATCTAGTATGCTGGTGTGATTCTTCAATACAAGCTTGGTGTAAACCAATTCTGATTGTCACGGTTTTGCCTTCAGTTCAGTTTGTTTGAGTGATGACCATGGGAAGAAATTGAAGTTCTCGACATCGCCCCATTTGAGAGGTAGAATGCTCCCACAAAATGAGAAGGTTGCTGTAACTGTGCCACAAACAGTTCGAGCAGGCTAACAAAAATGCATTCATCTGTGAAGACGTTTTGAACCTTTACCTAACCAACTACTTAATACTACATGGGCTCATCGAACAGCGCTACGAACTTGGACCCCATGTGTGTGGGGATATCGTCTTAGAGTCTTTAGATCTAAGGGGTCTTCGTGTTGGGTAAGTTGGTGTGAATGGCCTGCGGGCTGCCGGTCCTTTTTTGCGAATACCCATCTTGTGTTTTTGTTTCTCTCTTTCCCTGTCTTCCTCTATGAGAGTTTGTCAACTCAATCTCAAGTACAAATGATCTTTCTTTGGCACTGGCATTTGTCTGTATGCACTGCAGAGAAAGAGGAGAACGACCTGAAGCATACAGCAGGAGAGACGGCCGTTCATGTCGGAATAGACCTTCGACCGTCAGATACCGAGAAGTCAAGGTTTTTCACGTACAAAGAGCTTGCTGCAGCCACAAACAACTTTAGTGACAGGCACAAGATAGGCGATGGTGGCTATTGTGCAGTATATCGCGGTCTTCTTCAAGGCAAGGTAATCCTCACCCTATCTTGCCTCCTAAGACAGTCGTGCTCAATTTGCCACAGCATGAGACTCCTTTTTTCTTCCTTTTTCTCCCTTTCTCCCTTTCTCCCTTAATCAGAATACCTGGACAATTCCTGATGAAGTGTTACCCTTGCTCCGAGGGGCAATGCTCTGAAAGGCCTTCCACGATTCAGGCCCCAATTTCGGATCTCAGGGTCAGAATGCCCAGGTCAAGAAAAGGCCGAGTTGTTAAACTCAGAAAAGTCACAGTCGGGTACCTCAGCAGTCTGGTCCAACAGGCACCCAGCAAACAGTCACATGTCAGGGACAAGAGTCACGTTCCATAATAAAAAGTCATTTAGAAGAGTCACATCCCACGAGTGAAAAAGAAGACTCACAAGCAAGAGTCATGTCTCAAAGGCAGGAGTCACGTCTCATGATGAAAAGTCATATTGAAGAGTCACATACCACGAGTAAAAGGCAGCATCATGGGCAAAAGTCGTGACCCACAGGCAGGAGTCACTGTCCACAGTCAAAAGTTATGTTTGCAAGTGAAAAGTCACGACTCAAAGGCCCAAGCAGCAGCAGTCCAATGGAAATTCGGGAAGGTTCCAGGCCTTGACATTCAGAAGCAGACAGGCCGTGGGGATGTGGTACCGGAACCAGTCAGGACCCAAGAAACAGAGGCTGGCACGAGTTGAAGTGGAAACCAAGACCACAAAAGGACTGGCCAGCCGCACATTCGGGCAGATTGCTCATTCGTAAGAAGTGTGGAAGTGCTGGTGCACTTGTGCGCTGAAGTGAGGAGCAGAGCGCTCAGGCCAGAGTGCTGTGCTAAATGAGAGAGAGAGAGGAAGTTAGCGCGGGCAGGGAGAAGGCAGCCATAGCTGCACCAGTGCAGAAGTGTTAGTACTAGCCGCTAGTAGTAGACTTCAGAGGGATTAGTAGTGTTACATGCTCAGTTGGGCGATGAACATAATAACCGAGGATCCGCAATGTGATAAAAAGGACTGAATGGACAATGCATTGCAAGTAGAATCTCGACAAGCAATTCACGTAGTATAAGATAGCGAAGCAGAATGCTAGAGTACCAATGACTAGCCCAAGCAATGTTTCAACGCAGACCAAACATACATCACGCCCATCACAAAGTGTGAAGGGGCCTGGCGCTGTACACAGAAAAGAGGCGCCAGGTCCAGACATACACAGACGAAGAGGAGGGGATCAGACGAAGAAGAGGAAGGGGGAGATGGGAAAGTCGTCAACACCAAGTCTCGTTACAAGTCCCAAATAATCCCTCTTCGATATGTCTGAAGTCGAATGTCGAGTCTGGATCCAAATGTCACCAAGCTCTCTCCCTCTCTCTCGTAGTCTGCTGATGCAGTGAAGTCAGATAGCGAGAGGGTGAGAAGGAGATGGTGGACTGAGAAGAGGAGGAAGAAGAACTCTCTCTCTCTCACAATCCAGGTACTAACCTGTGAAGTTGGCGCTGTGCTGCAGGTACCTCGAAGACGAAGCTGGAGCAACAGCACTGCAGGTAAGTATCCCTGGCCTCCGCCCAATCTCTCTCTCTCTAGTACTACCCTAGCTATGCCGCCCAGCGCTGAAGACTACAGCTACGCTACTAGCGCCCAGCACTGAAGACTAATGCTAACGCTACTACTACTCCTGCAGCGCTCCTCCAGAGTGCTGCTGCCGAATCCCGAAGACTACTGCCTCCTGCCTCCTGAACTGCATGTGAAGTGCCTGGGAAGTACCTATGAACTACCTCCCAACTACCTGCAGCCTGCAGGGCGGGCCAGTCTTATAGTGCTGGCCCGTCCCGGAGGCTGCTCTTGCCAATGCCAAAACGGGCCAGACCGTGGGGTTGAAGCTCAAACAAAGGTTGTATTGAAAATAGGCCGAAAATGGCCTGAGCTAAAACCCTGGTCTGGTGCCTGAGTTTCGGGGCAGGTTGAACTGATGAGGGCCTGAAAATGGTCCTCAGTTTCAGGCTGAAAATACTCAGGGCCGGAAAGGCCCTGATTTAGCCTGAAACGACACAGGGCCTGTAGGCCCTCGTTTTCAGGCTTTCAGGCTGAAACGACACGTGGCCTGTAGGCCCTGGTTTGCAGGCTTTCAGGCTGAAACTGACACGGGGCCTGTAGGCCCTTGTTTTCAGGCTTTCAGGCTGAAACTGACACGGGGCCTGTAGGCCCTTNCAGGCTGAAACTGACACGGGGCCTGTAGGCCCTTGTTTTCAGGCTTTCAGGCTGAAACTGACACGGGGCCTGTAGGCCCTTGTTTTCAGGCTTTCGAGCTGAACAGACACGGGGCCTGTAGGCCCTGGTTTTCAGGCTTTCAGCCTGAGGGACGCAGGGCCTGGAAAATGGCCCTCGTGTGCAGGCGCAGCATGTAACAGTAGAGTAGACAGTGGGTGTATTCAGAGTAGATCTTTGAGTAGAAGCTAGTGGTTGTGCACACATGTAGGGAGAGAAGACACAGCAAGGACATATCTAGAGAGAAGACCGGTAAGGAGAAGAGTTACACAAGAGAGAAGAGCAGAGAGGAGGAGTTACTTACCTGAGAGTTCATGCTGGTTATTGGTTACCTGTGACATGCGCTGATATGCGCTGGTGACTTGAACTCTTATTGCTCTTGTAATACATTCTGGAAATGATAAGTTGTGCTACCTGGTCTTCATCTCTCTGGTCTCCGGTGTGAATTTGGTGTGAACTCATACATGCTTGTGGTGTGAATATGTGCACTCACTGGTGTTGAACTAGGAGGTTCATTGCAAACTGGTATCGGAGCAGTAGCTCATTACACCGATTGGACATCGCTGGCAACGATTAAAGCCGGCAAGGAGGGAGATAAGAGAGTGAGTTGAGTGGGGAGAAGACTGACGAAGGGGGGAAAGAAGAAGGCCGAAGAAGAAGTGGCTTGATTACGTACCTGTTGCTGCTGCGTTGGAGCATTCGAGCGGCCATGGAGCTTCATCAATGGAACGTTCATTGGAGAGAAGTGCATTCCCCCCTTTAAACCTGTATTGCTTGCTGACTTGTCTTGGTGATTGGAACCTCCATTATCCTGGTGTCGCTGCTGTTGGGCTGGTCTAAGTTATCACACACTCGGTTGATTAGAGTCAGCAACCAGTCCGGTTGTTTAAAATATATATATATACGTATATAATTCTGGGAAGGTAATCAGCAGTCAGCAACTGTCAGACCCACTCGTGATTTAGTAATTAGTAGTAGGGGTAGGTCTAAGTGGTGAGGAGGTGGAGGTTAGGTGCGTGTGCCTTTTATCACCATGGATGACTATCCTATGTTCGCACTTTTGTCCCTGTCAGTGCTTTGGGGACCACTCCTTTGTTTTTTCTTTCCTTATGGGTTCCAGAGAACCCTCTTTTCATATCCTGTGCTGAGGTCTGGGAAGTCAACACAGGCCCAAACAGCTGAAGAGCAAGCTGAGATAAATCGCCGCCTAGCAGAAAAGAAGAAAGAAAAGGAGGAAAAAATAAAGAAAAAGTAGGAGGAAGTGAAAAAAAGAAGTTGGAGAAGGAGATGAAGGAGAAGGAAAGGAAGTTGATGGAAGAATTTAAAGAAGAAGAAGATATGGGAGAAAGATTGAAAAGAAGGGTCAACCACGGGCGGAGCAGGCCGAGAGCAGTCGAATGGGTGGCATACGAATGCGGCAGTTGGAGGCAATGGACTGGCTAGGCCAGTTTGGTTTTCGGGAGGAGCTGCCAGCAGAGAGTGAGGAAGAGAAGGAAGTTTTTCTCAAACTGTTGTCTGAAGTGAAGGATGAGGCAGAAAACAGTTGTTGGTGGAGGAGAAGAGAGCAAGCTTGCATAATCGCATGCTGCTAGAAAGGATAAAAGAGTTTGATGAGAAGAAGAAGATGAAAGAGGAGGGAGAGAGATTGCGGCAAATGTTGAAGGAGCAGCAAGGGAAACAAGTTGCAATAGAAGAAAGACTTACCCTCCTCACTGCACCCTCCTTCATATCAATGATCAACGTGTTGTACTTCATCAGACAGTAATCAAAGTAGAGGCGCAACAGGGAGAATTTGCTGATACCTGGACTAACTTTCTGAATAGTGCCTCGCCGCAGATTGACTTGCGAGTCCGTGATTATGTGGAGCAGTTAGATGAAGCTCTCTGCCAGAGACTTAAAGACCCCGTCGTGATTAAACAATTGAAGATTGGTGGTGGGGGAGGAGATGGAGGCGATGATGGAGATGATGGGGATAAGAAAGGGAAGGTTCCCAAGAAGGAAAAGGATAGTGAAGAGGAGGAATCCATGCAAAAGATGAAGGTGAAGTTGCCTTGGACTTATACGGGGAAAAAAGAGGAAAGCATCTTCCATTGGGAGGCGGCTATGGGTACTTACCTGTACGCACAAAAGGTTCCGTACTGGGACCGGGTGTTGATGGCAAGTTCGTGCATGGCAGGGGACGCCATGAGTTTCGCTATTTCTTTGATGAAAGAGGCAGGCTGCACAACTATGGTTGTATATTCACAACAAATGCGGATCAAAGACTTTTTCAACGCCCTTAGAGAAAGGTTCGAAGATAAGAACCTGGCCCGTGGGACCGAGTCTTTGATTCTTAACATAGGTGACCGTAAATGGAAGAGTGCATCAGCCCTCAAGGCCACGATGGATGAATTGTTGCAATGCCCAGATCACGGACTGACACCGGCCCAGATCCTGAATAACTTCGCTAGAGCACTCCCTAATCCCCTAAAAACACAGCTATATCCCTGCACCAAAGAAGAAGGAATGACCTATGAAAATTTCAGCAAGATCGCAGTAGATCATGCTGGTTTCCTACATGAGGCACAATACTGCCACTACTTAAAAGACTTGCAAGCAGGGAATAAATGGAAAGATGGAACCATTTCAGGTAATATAGGATGGAAAGACAACCTACCGGTCACCTTCGAGTCTTTGAGGAAGGAGGTGTAGAGTCTCTTACATATGACCAAATAGATTATGGACTGGAAGAAGATAGCAACGGTCACTTAGCCCAGGGAGGGGACTTTGCGGCTGTTGCAGCCCACGAGGGAGGGCGACAAGGAGGAAGAGGCCGTGGTAGAGGAAGAGGAGGTCGCAGTCGAGGTGGAGGCAGAGGAGGTCGCGGTCGAGGTGGAGGAAGAGGACCCGTCGCCCCGAGGGGTAGTGGCGAAGGTAGCTACTATGTGGGAGATAGGGGTAATGGTCCCTGGCAAGGTGGAAGAGGCACAGGGGAAAGAGGAAGAGGTAGACGGCCGTACCCGGAACACCCAGGGATAGTTGAAGGCAAACCTTGGTTAGAAATGGGTATAGACGAAAAAGTTTGGGAAGAGCGTCGTAAGGCCGGACAATGCTTCAAATGTGGTGAC